GGCCTTAAAAAAAAAAAACTTTCAAGGTGGTCAGTGTGTCTCAGGTCTTTCTAAGCTCTGGAGACCGCCGTCCCCTCCAGTCACAGCCTGGATGTCCTGTCCCTCTCATCACTGAACTCTCTCTTAAAGTCCCTGAGTCAGGACATCTCGTCACACACATGCACCCAGGCCGTTCACTCTCAAACCCCGTGTCACCAGCCTGAAAACACCAAAGATGTCAATCAGGATTCAAAGGACACCATGGCCTCAACATTCTGAAACCCCCAAAGGCCCTGCTTCCCTGTGGGACTGTGGCCTCCTCTGCAAGGACAGCTCCCCCTGACCACAGACCAAGCAGAGAGCATATGTGCAGGAAGGCATCCAGAGAAAACTCCAGAAGCAGCAGGAGAGAGGCACAGACAGCAAGTGCTCTGACCTCCAACCCTCACTGTGACAGACGGGGCAGCCTGGGCTGCAGGACTTGGGGTCCTGGGGAAGCTTCACAAGAGAAAGACAGCAAAGAGGCACCTAACTGAAAGTCACCCCATGGAAAGAGAGAGAGTGTAACTTACACAGGCCGTGTCTTGAGAACCAGAGCTGGCCATTCTTCTTCAGGATCCTCCCCTGGGGACAAAAAGAAAGCCTTTCATTGGATGTCACGTGATGTTCCCTGACTGACTTGGGTCAGCCTGACATCACTGACCACTTTATTTCTCGAGCATCTGAACTCACACACTCCTCTCCACAGCCACAGCCTCCCAGACACAAACAGAAGCAGACAGGAGTCCACACAGAGCGGATCCTGTCCTAACCCCAGACAACCCACTGACAAGGACTCACTTTCCCACTCCAGAAATCCTCAGGAGTGAACAGAAATCACCTACTACCTCCATGCTTCCCCTGCTTTGAAAACAAGGCCTTTAATGATCAAAGGCCCCATAGTGTGTGATGCCATCAATATAGGAACCAATTTAGCAAATCACAGCTTGGAAGCGCTGAGGGTGACCTCTCTGGTCCTCCCCGTCTGTAACGTCCTGGGGACAGGGAGTGACTGCAGAGAGAGACGTCAGAGTCTCTGAAACGATCGCGTGGACACTGAGTGGAAAGGAGGGGACGATGTGAGGCCACAGTGGTGGAGGCGCCAACTGCACACTCCGTCCTCACTTCCTGACGACTCTCTACTCAGCACCACAGCCTCGTCTCTCAGACAGGAGGGAAGAGCAAACTCACTCTTGAGTCTGAGGTGCGCGGCGGTGACGCTCGCACTCTGCTCCAGGCCGTCCTTGTCCTTGTGAACCCGAGAGCGCAGACCCCGCGCCCTGGTGAGAGCCCGCCCCGCCCCTCCCCGCCCCACGACACTCCTGATGGCCACCCTGGGCAGGTGGTGCTGCTCAGGGTTAGGGTTAGGGTGCTCAGGGAAACCTGCGCTCCGGGCGCTGTCCCTGGGCGCTCGCTCTCCTCTCTCTCTGTCTGTCTGTCTGTCTGTCTCTCTCTCTCTGTTTCTCTCTTTGTCTCTCTCTCTGTCTCTGTCCCTCTCTGTCTCTGTCCCTCTCTGTCTCTTTCTCTGTCTCTCTCTCTGTCTCTCTCTCTCTGTCTCTGTCTCTCTGTCTGTCTGTCTCTCTGTCTCTGTCTCTCTCTTTGTCTCTCTGTCTCTGTCTGTCCCTCTCTGTCTCTCTCTGTCTCTGTCTCTCTCTTTGTCTCTCT